AAACACACACACACACACACACACACACACACACACACACACACACACACACACAGTGAGCAAGTGACTTCAACACCTCCATTTCACACTCACTGACTTCAATCTCAAGTACATTTTCAAACAATATTAATAGAAGTTTGAGTGAATGAATGTCATTCAAACAATATCATGAGAAAATGGAGCAGAAAACAGGATCCTAAATGTGACGTGAATATTAATAAAAACACAGAAGTTTCTTTCTGAAGTTTCACTGATGCTGGTTGGATTGTAATGAAGAGAGGCCTGTTATCATTCAACCCTCGAGCGTCCAGCGAGAGATTCATAATCTCAGAGATGAGACCGCTGATAGAACGAAACCAAGCTCAGATGAGATCTGAACCTCAGGAATCACGAGAACTCCTTAAACACACATGAACAGAGCCATGAGCAGATCAGAGCTCAGATGAGAAACTTCATAGGGTGGCCAACTCTATAACACCAGAAAGCAAATAAAAAATTCCATTGAGGGACGATATTTTCCCCCTTAAACTGATTTCCAGGGACATTTTTTAACCTTTGTAAGGAGAAATTGTCTAACCGTATTAAACGTAAATTCATATATTTATTCAATAAATGCAATCAGATTTGTAAGATAGTATAGGGCCCTTACCAATCAAATGAAATAAATCAACAAAATCCATCTTTGACTGTTTAATGCAGCTCAGAGATGCCATGAATGCATTTACACTGCATAAATAATGTTAGGAGATTAATGTGTTAAATATACAATATACTGAATATAGAACTATAAAATGATACTTTAAGTATGAAACTAATATCACCAGCAGATGTGGCGACAAGTCTTATCGAGAGAGTCATTGATTCACACGTTCAACCGATTCGTCCAAAACCGATGATTCATTCAGGAACGAAGCAAGTGACTTGCTGATTTCTAGCGTACTACTCTTACTAGTTATGCCATAGAAAGAAAAAAATGCAAAAATGGTAAGAGTAGTTTAGCAACTGTCTTTACGAATGGCTTACTGAATCATTGATTTGTTCAAAAACGCAGGAATGAAACACCACTGCTTTAATCGGAGAAGCAATGATTGGTTAAATAGAGCAAAACATTCCATAATGACAATATTGTGTCTAGAATGTACATCACTTAATATTAACTTGAACATACATAACATATTATATACCATTGTGCAAAGTATAAAACAAATGAGTGGACATGGTGTTTCAAAACTGGACTGTCTGACCTAAAACTGGACAGATGGCCGCTCTACTTCTTTCTCAGGGCCCATTTCATTATCATTTTTTATTTATTATATACTAAAGCAATAAGCCCCAAGAAGCCGTGGTTTACAGTGAATTTATAACAGCTAAGGGGCGTAGTTAGGTACGACATGAAGCGGAGTTATAACCCCCTTAGCTGTTATAAATTCACTGTACGTAGTAAGGTTTCACAGAATAAAACAGAGCAAATAAAGTGTAATGATATTAATAACAACAGTATTCTGCCACCAAACAATGTAGCTCCTCAGAAACAGTTGTGGTTGCTACAAAGTGGTTGCCGAGCAACACACAAACGCAAACAAAGGTGTATGTTACTTTGTAGAGTAATTTACAACAGCTTCGAACGCGGCTCAGCCAATCAGAATCAAGCACCGGAACTATCCGTTTTATAACATTGTATAAAGTATAAAACAAATGAGCGGGCATGGTTTTATAAAACCAGACTGTTCGTTTCTTAGACTGGATGGATAGCCACCCTACTTCTTTCTCAAGGCCCATTTCATAAAAAGCTTTTTCTGAAATGACAGGGAAAGCATCAAGTCAAAAGCCTTTAAATTGCAGACACAGATCGTATCGCATAATCCTTCACTTCAGAGAAACTGCACAAGCCGATCTCACGTAACGGCTCCATTTCTGAAGAGGAAATTCAATCAGAACAGAAATAATAATGTGTCGTGACGGCGGAAACATGCTGTGCTTTCAATATACTATATTAATAAAGAGATGAGTTCTGGAGGCTTTCTGGGCTCAAACGCTCTTTTCCAGATGAGAAACTCCAGCAGCTCAAACCACACTGACATCAGCGCTTGGCTCGCGCCGTCTATAATCACAGACTGAGAATGAGCCGCTTACTTCGAGTCCGATGAGATTTCTTTACAGGCGCCCTCTGACACCCAGCCGCAGTAGGGGTCCCTGGAGGCGATACAGGACCTGAGAGAGACACACATGAGGGTTAATCGTGTAGAGCGGTCTGTACGAACGGGGCACATAGAGAGAAAGCATACGCACTTTTTACACTTGCCATGCCGCTCGCAGCGGGACAGCGGGACTTTGACCACGCATGAGGTGAAGGCCACGAACAGAGAGTGACTCCTGCGGTCGATCTGCATGCTGATGATACGCTTGTCCTCCACGCCGTCAATCCTGCACCTGATCACACCAGATCAAGACCGAACACATCAGATCACTCGAGAGCTTCTGAACAGATTCACACTCACTCAGACTCATCAAACAGATCAGACTCGTATCTGTAGAGCTGCTTTATAGCACAATCGAATTCAACACTGTTATTGACCTGAATCATCAAACGAAGTTGATCAGAATAACGTCACTATTGTCTTCAGTAGAGCTGCTTCCATCTGAAATAAACTGGTTTCATAAATCGATGAACTTTACACTGTTATTATACTGAACTGAACAATGACTCTATTGTTTTCAGTAGAGCTGCTTTGAGGTTAAGAATCGAATTTCAACTTCAGAATCGAAGAATTGAATTTGTTTTACATTTACATTTAGTCATTTAGCAGACGCTTTTATCCAAAGCGACTTGGACAATGGAAGCAATGCAAATTTTCAATTATTTTCAATAATTGATGAACTTTGAAACATCGACTGTTACTGAACTGAATTGATCTGAATGACTCTATTGTCTTCTGTAGAGCTGCTTTACAGCTGAAATTGAATTTAGTATCACAATTGAAGAATTTTACAACATTATCACTGTTATTTTCCAGTTTATCACTATAAAGCTGTTTTGAATCAATTTGTATTGTATAAAGTGCTATAGAAATAAATTTGACAAGTGGTTTTATACACAAAATGATTTATCAAGTTGTAAATAAAGAGTACTGATTATAGTATATTTTAGATTATAGTATATTTTACAAATAAATGCTCTTTCAGTGTTTTTACTTCAAATTTCACATTTAATTCAGTGTGTGACTTGCTGTTTCTTTGTGATTATTTGTGAAATTTGGTAGCAATTTCTGAGTAAAACTGTGGTAAATCACAGTCTTTTTACTGTAGACTCACATTCGCTTCATGTGGAAAGTTTCTTGTTGCTTCGCATCCAGTTATGCTAATGAACTAAGCTTGTTACTATTCATAACTGTATATTTATGAACGTCGTTAATAAAACACCAGCATCACCAGTATATTGTTTTGAACATGGTTAAAATCACAGTAACATGGCTCTGCTGTTTTGCTTTAAAGGAGACATATTATGCCCCTTTTTACAATATGTAATATACAGGTGCATCTCAATAAATTAGAATGTCATGGAAAAGTTCATTTATTTCAGTAATTCAACTCAAATTGTGAAACTCGTGTATTAAATAAATTCAATGCACACAGACTGAAGTAGTTTAAGTCTTTGGTTATTTTAATTGTGATGAAATAC